AATATTTGATACATATCATAAATAAGAATTCTACAAACAGATATGAGTTATAATGAAATCCATTAATATCCTGACATCCTGTCCAGACACATTGAACATTCAGTTTGCTATCCCTGGGAGGCTCTTTTGCTCCTTCATCTAATTTAGTCCCATCACTCTTTCAGAGCTCAGCTGAAGAAGTATTGGTTCACTAAGCAAACTTTCCCTGACCTTCCAGACCATGTCCAGTCCCCCATTATTGTACCCTGCAATCCTTCCATAATTACAATACAGAATAGTGGAGCTGCTTGTGTAATATCTTTTAGCTCTGTAAGGCCTTTGCAAACAAGGACTTATCTATCTTATTTACTGTTTTATCCCTAGAACCAAGCACAGAGATTTACAGAATGAATGAATGATTATGGAACAATTGTTAGAATAATTTTCTGGCTTAAATTTTTAAATAAAACAGAACACTGTTACAGACTTTCTGCTCTTCTAATGATACCACCAAGTAGCTATTTCCCCATTTTTCTTCTGGTATTAAAAGTACAAATAATTTTTCTGTTAAAAGTAAATTCAAATAATGCAGAAAGTTTTCCTTATACGAAACATTACTACTCAACAAACCACTAAGATGGTTTACTTCCTTTTGCCTGGCACTGTCCATCTTAGACAAGATCTGCTTCTGCTTAACACATTATTCTTTCCATGAGTAGCGGTTAAAAAGCTAGCAAACAATGAAATATTAAGTCAATAAGTGACTTAAAAAACTTTTTAAAAAGTACTTTTGAAAGCCTTAAAAGCATTTTCATATTACAACACTTAAGTTAACAAAGACTACATAGATGAAAGGGGAGAAAATGTCCAAATAGGCACTGAATCAAGAATAGTACTTCTTGCTTACAAATGATGTATTTCTTTCAATACTCATTTTATTTTCCTCAGAAATCAGCAGGGAATCATTGAGACAGTTTTGGTAACTTTCAAAGTATCACATAAAAAATTCTTTGTCATAGACATCTATTATTTTTGTCTATTTAACCAGCTCTCTTTCACACTACCTCATTTGCTTCTTGAGGAAACTGCTTATCCCTCCACATTTCTATGGTCCTCCTGGAGCTGCCAATGTAGTATCCTCGTTTCCCCTAGCTGTGGGGTGGGCTTGCCATCAGACAGCCGAAAAATCTCACCATACTCTCCTCAACACAGTGATTAGTCAAGCAGTGGGCACATAACCCTCAGCCAGGCCCGAGTTCCCAAAGTATTTGGGGGATTAGAGGTGAGGGAAGGGGGTTTCTTCTCCCTTGGTTAATAAACTAAACTTAATCCCAAAATTGTCAGCAGATCTAAGAGTTACAATGAAGCCAAAAGAGGAATGTTGGAAAGGAAGACAACAGTTCTAGATGGTATTTTATCCTCTGGATTCAGAAAATCCTCAAACTAGTTCTAGTCCTTGCTTGCTTATCAGATGACTTACTCATCTAATAAATCCCTCAATGCCCTTTATTTTTGTTGTTATTGTTAAAACTAGCTTGGGTAAGATTTGTCAGTTATAATCAAGAAGTCTTCATATTTCCCATATTCATTTAGGCACCATGAAATAATTTTTAAAACAATGGTTGTTTTTTTAAACTACTGTACTCTCACAAATCTAAATAATGTTACATTCTAAACTATTATTCTCTCCCACAATTTTTTTCAGCTTTACTGGGGTACAATTGACAAACAGAAATTGTATATATTTAAAGTATACAACTTGGTATTTTGGTATAGTGAAATGATCACAATTAGGCTGGAGAACACAACCACCACTTCACATAGCTCCTTCCCTACAACTTTAAGTATATACAAGTAAATTTTTAAAGAAACACAATGTACATGCACGCTTTAAAATTTTTATGCATATATATAAATAAAAAAATACAGTTCATATGTATGAAATTTACACAGTCAATATTTAAAAATTCTAAGTGTACAGAGAGGCTTGAACCCTCTCACTCACTAGTCCAGTGCCCCAGTATTAACAACTTTCAATATTTTTAATAGCTGTTGATAATAAACTTTGCCAGTATTTCTTGACTTACCAATTTTAAATATTATCTTTTAACTTTCTGCTGTGATAGAAGAGAATTTAACTCCTTGCACAACCAATTTCATCTTTCCAAAAGTTACTCTGTATTATTCCTCTATTATTTATCCTTGTAACTTTACTTACACCTTTATTTATGGTTTCATGTACTACTGACATTCCATTTTGTAAAATAAGAATTAAAGAATTCAGTGCCTTTGTCCTTCACTTTCAACTCACAACTTCCATCAAACAGTCTTATATTGAAAGGTCAATAATTTCTTCTGTTCTGTAATTATTTTCTGTACTTCAAAAGTTTAGTCAAAAAGCATCATCTGCATGGAGAAAACTAAATAAATAACACTCAGTGTATATCTAAGTAGTATGCTAATGACTCTGTGTCCTATCCTGTTCAGTTTATTTTTAATTTTCCTGGAGTATTTAACTGCTTTTCTATTCCCTTTGCCTTGTCTACTTTTATCACTACTTTAAATGGTTACAAATTCTCAAGGTTAGTTTCAAATCTCCATTTTTACTGGGTATCTCCCTCTTGGAGGTGAACGTCTGCAAAGGCTTACCACTTGGCAGTTGATCCTGGGACTTCTCTTCCCCCATCTTAAGTAAAAGCTACTGTTTCCTAGATCAAAGGTTATCTGGGTCTTCTTTTTTTTTTTTCTTTTTTTTTTTTTTAATCTGGGTCATCTTCTTTTTTTCTAATCTGTTACACCTCATTTTTCTGGAGCACATTCTCTAACAGCTTCCAAAAAAGAGTATGTGTATAACTCAATCTTCTAGGTCCTTACATGCCTGAAGTATTGTTTCCACTCTCACACCTCACTGCTAGTTTGGATGAGCATAAAATTCTACACTGAAAATAATTTCTCTCCAAATCTTTAGAGACACTGATTCATTATATTCTACCACCCACTGTTGGCTGTATGAAGACTGATATCAGCCTGATGTCTGTTCCTCGTTTTTTCTCTCTGGAAGGTGTTCCAGTCTGTTTTTCATTCTTGATTATTTTCAAATTGGGGAATAATGTATTTAGCTAAGTATCTTTTATATTCATTGTGCTGAGCACTTCTGGGGCTCTTTCAGTTTTGAAGTTTATGACTTTTAGTTCTGGGAAATTCTTTTATTATGTCTTCAAAATTTTCCTCCAATGTATATACTCTAAATTCTTTTATTATGTCTTCAAAATTTTCCTCCAATGTATATACTCTAAATTCTTTTCTCTAAATACTCCAAAATTTTCCTCCAATGTATATACTCTAAATTCTTTTCCTGGGACTCCAACTAATTAAATAATGAACCTTCTATATGAAGCCACTGTATCAGTTTTTTCTTTTTTTTCTGACATTCCATCTCTTTGATTCTGTTTTACATTCTGGACTATTTCCTGAACTTTACCTTCCAACTTCCCTACAGAATTTTAAATTTTAACCATATTATTTTCTTAATTTTCCACAAACTCATTTTTGGTATCTCATTATTTCTTTCACATGGCATGATATATTTATGTTTTAATGTCATACATATCTTCTCAACTCTCTCTGAAAATGATAATGATAGATTTTATATTTATCTTCTAACTTTTTGGTTTTCGACATTAACACTAGTTCTTCCAAAATTTTTTTTAGTTTGTTTTCATTGTATTTTTTTTTTCATGTGAAGTCATTCCTCAAATGTCTGATGATTCTTGAATGCTCATTAATATTTAAGAATAAAGCCATAAGCAGATTAATTGGGAGCCCTATGAGCAAGCATGTCTAGAGTCTGATGATTGGTAAGTTTTCCTTTAGGATAATTAAGTGATTAGCTAGCTGTCTCAAAGAAGAACTCTTAATTGCCAGAATACAAAGGTCACTGCTCCAGTCACTCAATTTCTTTAGAGGAAAAAAAAAGTAGTAATGCAATTTCCCCAACTTACCCTGGCCCTAAGGTCTAGTGAATGGCCTGAATGGAAAAACTGCAATTAACTCCTTTATCTGTATTCTCCCAAAGTATCTCATTCCCTACTCTCTATTTCATACCTTGCACGTTCAAACTCTACACTTCCTTAGGATTCCAAGGGGAGGGAGGCAGGACAAACAATCTTCCTCCTTTCTTACAAGGTGGAAGATAATTTTGTTTTAAATGCTACCCACAGTTTTAAAAAATGTTTTACAAATAATAAAGTATACACATACATAAATATGAATATATAAAACAAGAGTTTCACAAAATAATACTTATATGAGGCATACTGTGATATTTTCTATTGTATTTTGTAATGTTATTAAATGAATTCACAACCCACTATTGTGATGTGAGTGTAATTTGAGGCGCACACACACATACACACAAAATTAAGTTGTGACTTGCTCTGTCATTTTTCAAAAACCACTCCTCTATCTGTTTTCCTTCCACAAAAAATTGTTGAGATCTTTTTATTCACTGATGACTCTTCTCTTGCCTTTTCACTCTATTTCCCTCTTTTACTTCTTTACTCTTTTAGTAGGATCTACGAGGGCAAAAAGGACAAACACAAGTGCTCAGTTGGTGATCTTTAACTCAAAGTCTTTCACAAATATTTTTAAAAACCAAAGTTTCCTCTTTCTGACCTGATTTAAGGTCCCTCTGCTAACTATGATGGCCTCAATTGCTGTATTCTGGGACTTACATTAAAGTTTGCCAACGCAATCTGGGGAATTAAAAAGGAAAGTGCTAGCAGTGACCCTAAGAGTCTATGTAACAATTTCATTTAACTCTAAAACTAAAAGTAAAATTGTGGTTAAATGTTCAAAATCAAGCCTAAACACTTAAATGAAGAAATGGAAATTTATTTTTCAGAAAAGACTTTAGGAAAGGTTCCTTCTACAAAGAAAATAATCAAAAACCAATTCATCAAGAAATATACTTGTATAAATACATCAAGAAAATACTTGCATAAGAAGTAAAGAGTACTTACAAGGCAAGGCTACTCAAAACATACTGTACGTGCTCACATTCATCTGGGAATGATGCACTGGCTGATGTAAAACAGCAAAGTGCAGTCTGAAGAACCTGAAGCTGTGGCAAAGGGACCTGCCATCTTCCAGCATAATCTTCAACCACCTGATAGAGAAGCAATCCAAAAAGTACATCATTAGAGAAAATGTTCTCAACATCTTGAGTTTAAAAATGTGTGTAAAACTTTTTAAAACATTAGTTCAGCATGAACAGAAATGATTTAGGAGGGAGAAAAAGTTCTTCATTGCTTAGTTTCATGGAGTGCATCTGAAAATAAAATGAACTATTATCTTTGAAAATGTGAAAAATATAGTATATGAATGACCATACTTTTCAACTGTCAAATCTTTACCAAATATTGTAAAAAATACCTTCACATCCCATATCTAATTTTTGTCAAAATACCAATTACTAAATATTAAAATAGCTAGACAGTAGAATATAGTAATAAAGAAAATTAGAAATGAGCATGCATTATCATCATTATTATGTGCAAGACTGAACTCTAAACATTATAGCAACAAATGAGTATTAAAGATATGTTGGTGTGATGTTCTGATTATAAAAGTTTAAACTATACCATATTATGGAGAAAATAATCCAGAATATAATGCCTGGGCTCTGTCACTTAATTCATTTTATAATTTGGGTAGGTCATTTTCCTTCTCTATGCATTAGTTCCCCCACCATAAAATGGATATAATAATGCCTACTTTGCAGAGTTACTCTGAAGCTAAACTGGGATGATTTATGAGAAAACATTTTAGAAATATCAAGTCCTATAAAATGTTAATTATGATCTCTTGTATGCAAAACCACTATATTAAAACATTATATTACATTTTATAAATTCATCTTATAAAATAGGTTGGAAACTATGGCCTGGAGGCCATATTTGGCTTGCCACCCATTTCTGTATGACCTACAAGCTAAGAATGGATGTTACATTTTCAAATGGTTAAAAATAACATTTTGTGATGTATGAAAATCGTATGAAATTCAAATTTCAATGTTCACAGAGTCTTACTGGAACATAGCCAGGATTACCCATTTAGGTATTATCTATGGCTGCTTTCCTGCAACAACAGGTTGAGCAGTTATAACAGAAATCATAAGGCTCACAAAGCCCAAAATATTTAATATCTGCCCCCTTACAGAAGAAGTTTGCCAACTCCTGATCTAAAAGCTGGTAAAACTAGAGCAGAGTTAAAAAGCCAAGAACATTCAGACTCAAGAATTTTTCATATTATTTGCTTCCTGTTGGAGACAATTTTCCATGAGTCTCTTGTATTTCCGTTTTTTTTTAAAGAGGCCCTGACTGCCTTCACCCTTTCAAAGGTGTTTACAGGAAACAGCCTTGAAAAACAGAGATGATGTCTCTCCCCAAAGCAGTGAGCCTGTTTACTGTCTGTCCAGTATACTCATGATGATGTCTCACTCTGGAGCAAAGATCAGGCAGATATGCTTGCAGACCATTATAAAAGATTAGGACTCCCTAACCTTGGGGTTCCTTAGCTGTGACACAAATTTACTATGCACCTGGGCCATTCACATCACCTTTGTGAGACTTGAAAGGCAAAGGGAATCATATGAACTTGAAGCTCATGCTGCTTGCTATGCCGTGAGTAACAAAGTCTATCATCTCTGACCCAGGAGTTTTACGTCTTCAGCCAGCATCTGGGAAAATGTGGTAATCTACCTCAGATAGAACTCCAAGCCTTTCATGGTTCTTTGACAATTCCAAATTGCAGTATCAGATGGCCAGCATGTCTCCAATGTTTCTAAGAACATGTAAGTATGACTAAAAAAGAAAGCTAGAGGGTGATATCTCTGTGAACTTGTATCCCTTCCGTATCTAGCAGAACTCACTACCTGGGAAGTAAAAATGACTGCTGTGAAAATGCCAAGTAGGACAAACTTTAACAACCACCACAAGCAAAAAAGAAGAATGTTAGGTAACGCTGGATAATGTTAAAGCCAGTGGTTCCCTGGCTTTAAATGCTCTCTTCACTGAAGTGTTTGACTATCTCTATGCCTCTTTTTGGCCCCTACAACACAATTTTGGTACTACATAAAAAACAGGTACCTGACAGTCTCACATTTCTTCCTATGTTCAGTCCCAAATAGTTTGCCCTAATACATTTCCACTTACAACTTAATTTACTTCCTGCTTATAGGCTGGGTTTATATCCTTAGAAGGATATCCTTATATCCTTCCTTCTGTTCTCATTACAGCTTCCCTCATTCACCAAGATTCAGCTGTTAATACCCTGCCTGATTCAGTTCAGCCTAAACCTAACATAATAAAAGTATTTGTAGGCAATGCCTCCAACAGGTTTGCCACAATACCCTTGAAAAGACATAAACAAGACTGGCTGAAATATACATAGAGTTGTCCCTCATTATCTGTGGAGGATTGGTTCCAGGATCTTGCCATATCAAAATCTGCAAATGCTCTAGTCCTTTAAAAAACAGTGTATTTGCAGATAACCTACAGACATCCTCCCATATACTTTAAATCATCTCTAGATTACTTATAATACCTAATACAATGCAAATACAATGTAAATAGTTGCTATAGCACAGCAAATTCAAGTGTTGTGTTTTGGAACTTTCTGGAATTTTTTTTCCAAATTATTTTTGACCAATAGTTGGTTGAATCTAAAGGTATGAAACTGACAGACAGGGAGGGTTGACTGTATCTTCTTAAGTATAAGAAATCACAAGTTACAATGACAATAAACAGTAGCTTAATGTCATGCCAGACACTAATAATTCACTATAAATCTATAACATTCACTATAACATTATTTCTCTTTTAAATATTGTCCTTAAAATATGTAAAAGTATACATGATATTGTCTTTTTGCTTTTCTTCTTCTGCACTATATAACTGCTATTGTAAACACACAGCTAATGAGAGCTAACACAGGACATCATAATCTGAATGTGCTCTACCAGGCCCTTGTGCAATAAGCAACAAATCTTACATTTCTTTGTCTTTAGTATTCTAGTAAGCAACAGTCCTTACAGTTACTATACAAAGAATTACTGTATAAAGAATCAGATCCGTAAGAACGTTAAAATACATCATCCAAATTACTACAGACTGAAATGTGTCCCCTTAAAATTCAAGTTTTGAAGTCGTAATCATCAGTGTGACTGTATCTGGAGATAGGACTTTAAGGAAGTAATTAAGATTAAATGATGTCATAAGGAAGGGGTCCTAATCAGACAGTATGATGGCCTTATAAGAAGAGGAAGAATGCTCAATATTGCTAATTATCAGAGAAAAGCAAATCAAAACTACAATAAGGTATCACCTCACACCAGTCAGAATGGCCATCATTCAAAAGTTCACAAACAATAAATGCTGGAGAGGCTATGGAGAAAAGGGAACCCTCCTATGCTGCTATAGGATGTAGGGTTTGGTATAGCTGCTATGGAAAACAGCATGGAGATTCCTCAAAAGACTAAAAATAGATTTACCATATGACCCACCAATCCCACTCCTGGGCATACAACCAGAGGGAACCTTAATTCAAAAAGATGCATGCACCCCAATGTTCATAATAGCACTATTTACAATATCCAAGAGAAGGAAGCAACTTAAATGTCCATCAACAGATGACTGGATAAAGAAGTTTGGTATATTTATACAATGGAATACTACTCATTCATAAAAATAATAAAATAATACCATTTGCAGCAACATGGATGGACCTGGAGATAGTCATTCTAATTGAAGCAAGCCAGAAAGAGAAAGAAAAATATCACATATTTATATAGTATATATAATTTACATGTGGCATCTGAAAAAAAAAGACAAATGAACTTATTTACAAAATAGAAAGACTCACAGACCTAGAAAACAAACTTATGGTTACTGGGGGGAAGGGAGTAGGAAGGGATAAATTGGGAGTTCAAGATTTGCAGATACTAACTAATACATATAAAATAGATAAACAACAAGTTCATACTGTATCGTACAGGGAACTATATACAATATCTTGCAGTAACTTATGGTGAAAAAGAATATGAAAATGAATACATGTATGTTCATGTATGACTGAAGCATTATGCTGTACACCAGAAATTGACACAACATTGTAAACTGACTAGACTTCAATAAAATATATAAAAAAGGAGAAGAAGAAGAGAGCTCTGTCTCTCCACACACATGTACTGAGAGGGAAGGCCATGGTGAGGCCACAGATTGTTATCAACTTTCATTATTTCAAACACCTCACAGATCACAGATGTCAGTCAAGCTGTTCACTAATATTAATTTCATTACTTGTTTACAATGAATCTGCTCACCTTTAAAATCTGATGAATAAACCAAAAGCCACAACACAATTTACCTTCCATTCTTAAAGCTTCAAAAAATGGGTGTAATACATGCCAATCTATGCACTGAATATATGTTAATCTCCTAAGTACCTAAAATAAACACTGTATGAAACATTAAGTTAGTCTTCTCTCCCCACCTTTCAGTATGATATTGTTCATTTGTAAGATAGCTATATATACTATAAAGTATAATATATATGTATTTCCTAAGCTCTGTACATTGAGAGAGCCTAGGAGCAATGTCACCTCAGTAGCAATAACATACTTGGGGCACAAGTCTTGATTTCTAAACACTAGTCTATAAAATGAGGAACTGGGGCTCTTCAATCACAAGGAACTTGGGCTGTTCATGTCCTCCTGTAGCCGGGATAGAGCAAGGAAAATAACAAGATAAAACTGGAACATTTTGTAGTGCTAGGAAGTAAGGAAATGCTGAAATAATGATGGGATATAAAAACACAGGAGCCAACCTGAAGGCACTCCTAGCAGCTAAAGTTAGAACAAATATTCTGAGCAACAAAATAGATGACAGTATTGGATTTAAGCCATGGAACCAGATAACTATCCATGAGTCCATACTGATAAAAGTAAACAATCAAATTCTTCAGTAAAAGTTAGAGATGAGACAGCTCTTCCTCATAATAGAATACTAATTAATAAATACAGAAGGAAAGAGAGAAAGAGGAATCACCATTAGGCAAATACTGTACACAGTAATGAATGCTGCAAATAAGAATCATGGATTAACGCTA